GTGCAATATAGATATTTAATCTTTAATGAAGAGTAAAGCTGTTTTGTTTGTTGTCCGATTGGTGATGTATTAAAGTCGTCCATGTGCAGTAGCTTCTCTTGGACCATCCTGGGGACCAACTTTATCTGCACACCACCTCCCTCTACGGCGCTGACGTCACAGTCGTCTGTTAGAAAGGGCGGCTGATTGACAGGTTTATAGAATAATTTAGCAACAAGGCTAAATAATTTTAGCTAGCTTGGTTGAGGCTGGAGGACCCAAATGCAGAGGCAGGGAGGCAGAGCTGAGTTCTTTGTAAATTTTATGAGTGGTTCACAAACAACTGAGGTAGGAATTCAAAAATCCCAAAAATCCAACATGAAAAAAGTTAAACAAACCAGAACCATGGAGAGATCAGGGGAAAACAATCAGGACGAGGTTGGACAAAGTAAGACGGAGTTAGATGAGGAACCAGCACTGAGGAACTTATAAGGAGAGTATTTATGGCTAACTGGACAAAGAGAGGACTAACGAGCAGATTGGGAGCAGGTGTGAAGCGCAGTCTAAGGAGCTAGATAAAAACCTAAGAACTGAAATATAACCAGAAAACACAACAAAATAAGAAACAAACCAATAAAACTAGAAAACATGGAGCAAAGTTAAATTGAATACTCAAAAGAAAACATACCAGAACCAAGACTGTGACTTGGCTAACTGCATGCAGCGAGGCTAAAGCTGTATTCTGCTTTTCCTGCCTTTCATTTTCAAATGTCACGATCTGACCCAGCACGGATTAAGACAGCTTTGACTAATTTAAAGCATCTTGGAGAACATTTTAAAATGTTGTTTGTTGTTAGCATTCATATAAATATACTGGTGTAATACCTTAGTACACGTTTGATTGGTATACGTCTATTTTGAAGTTATAGCGACCCCTTGGAGAAAACTCTACCAGCCACCTCTGGTAAAAACTGGAAGTACCAGAATTTACAATATTTTTCATATGCAGGTTTTAACATTTTGAGTCAAATATATTGTGGAGATTTGTTAATAGATCCGCCCTTTTTACTTTAAATAAAAAAAACCTGCAAAACCATGCACTCTGCAGAATAATAAGCACATTTCTCCTCGTGCACGCTCTGTTTAAAATGGCTATTGTCATGGCTCACACACGCTTACTTAGTGTGTTCACATACAGCGGGGACTATATAGTGGACCCAGTTAACTGACCGTTAAGACAGAGGATCACTGCTTTTTGATCCGTTGGTCACGTAACTCCTCCTCCAGCGCGCGGTGCCTGAGCCATCTTTGTTATTAGTCTCTGCTGTCATGTAGCAA